CCTCATGCGCCTAAAGAAGGTGGCGCATGGCCGGAAGGTGAATAATAACGACAAAAAAAAGTCTGATTGATGAAAAAATTTAATGATTTCGTTTGTTTATAGATGTAAAGAATCAAATGAAGTAGCTGTAGCAGCTTTAGAGTGTGCGGAAAGTCTGTTTATTGTCTGTGGGATATTTTTGAAACCCACAACGCATAAGGTATGTTTAAACATAAATAAATAAAAAATCCACTTCTTATATAGGTCGGTTATCGAAAGCTGGCGCGTTCACAGTACTCACACTAATGCAATTTCACTATACAGTATGTTTAAAAATATTACTTTTTTGCCAAGCTATATATTTTAGTCTACTCTGGTTTAAGTAAGGTTGGGTGGGTTGTAAATAAATAAAAATGTGTCTAATACATATAAATATTATGTGCATACGAGGGTGGATCCAAAAGTTCTAAGCCCGACCAAGAACGTAAAAGAGTAGTCTGTGTAAATATTTTTTCATTTTTCGACATAAGCTCTATCTAGCTCAACACACTTCACTCTTACTTCACTAACAATTCTGTCAATACTCCTCTTAGAAACACCAGTCGCATCTGATGTCAAATTAAAAATTAAATTTTTTATTAAACTGTTTTTATTAAGATGCTTAAAATAATTAAAAACATTGTACACCATTTCACGAGATTGTCCTGGTAATGTTTAGACGGAATATATTTCACAAGACATTTTTTTCAAAGTATTCTAACCTCCAACCAAATAAGTAAACAATCACAGACAAAATAATAATGAGAAAAAAGATCAACATAAACAGTAGCAAAAGCAAAACAATAACTGTCTCTTTTATACTCATAAGCTTGACCGAGCGCGAGAGAGACGGACACTACACAAGCACAAAGCGCCAGCTTTAGATAACATACCAATACATGTAACCTTTAGAAATAACTATCTGGGCATATCTCAAAAACTACTGAACCGATGATGTGTTTCGGTTCAGACATTTTCAAGAAGTTCAGACGTCAAGTTCATAATAAAATTGATGAAAGCAATATTTTCAGGTATTCCAAGAACGGCTAGTCCGTGAATGTTTCAATCTATCGTCATATGATGACAACCAGGCAATGTTGCTTCTACGGACTCTAGAAGCCTGCAGGAAAACCACTCCTAACACTGTACCCCCGCCCACACAGTACTGCCTGCATTTGTATAGTACAAATGTTACTTCAAATCAACCTGAGGTCAGATGTGTATAAATTATTAATTTGCATACTTTAATATTATTTATGTGCTCTAAAGTAAATTGATTATTTCATTATTTATAACTATTTCAGTAGATTAACACTTTGCATACAATTATAATTTACTGTTATAACACTGTGCCGACGATTCGAATACTTTACAGTAAGAAAGGTATTAGAGGTTTTTTAAACGAACCCTAAATAAAAACGAAGCGCGTAAGAAGTTATACTTCTTTGGCACTATAAAAATTTTTTTTTATTTGCATGCAAATAATTAATTACAATTAAATAATCAAAGACTGGAAAAGGAGTCATTATAGTCAATAAAGTTCAGTTTACATTTGAAAAATTAAATAAATATATATTTATTATTATTTTCTAATATTAATTAGTATTGATTAAAATATTCAATTTAAATCACTTCTGATTATAATTCAGACGCACATATAAAATTCGCCTTGTATAATGAAAACAAAATGAATACACGTGTTTTAAATGTAGAAACTCAAAGCATGTGGATAAATGTTATAAATATGCACATACACAGTGAAGTGAGGCGGCGTGCGTGCCAACATGCGCCACTAACTTAATTCTGTTAATTTTGTGTCACGGTGCGCGCGCATCGTAAAATTTTACTCTCATCAATTTTTCATAAGGCGCCTAAAGAAGTATAACTTCAAAAAATATTTATCTATGGGAGTAATTCACAATCCAACTTATAATCGAATAATAAATATAAAGAACCAATTCGACTTAGGATCCTTCAAGAAAAGACTGTGTCAATTGTTAAAACTGGCGAGCCCTTTGGTATTTAGAGTGTCCATGAGCGGCGGTATCGCTTAACAGATGAGCCTCCTGCCCGTTTGCCCCTAAGATTGTACCACATTCATATTACATATTAAGGAGCGTTCAAGTATTACGTAACGAATTTTTGGGGAGGATCCTTTTGTAAAACGTTACGATACGGGGATTAAATTACGCGTTATTGGTTATATTATTTTCGACTTTTCAGTACTTTACACCACATAATGGTAACTTTTAGGTATAAAGAGTCACTAGGTGGTCACGAAACGTTTTACTATTGGGTACAGAAAAACGTTACGGCGCGTTACATGGGGGGTCGATAATCTCCAAAAATTGCGTGACGTAATACTTGTACGCTCCCTTATCCAAAAACAAACATTTTGTATGACTTTATTATTTGTCTATGAATAATAATTGATATAAAATAAAAAATAATTTCTAGATTGCCACATTTTGTTCGAAAGCAATACTAGACATTAGACTCCACTTGCACTGTTCACCGCCATCTCTGAACTTCGCCTTACAAGTCGTTGAAGAAAAGACGGAGAAACGCAAGAAGGTTTCCGAGAAAAATCGTGCAGTTTTGGAATCGCTTTTGGGGAAAAACAAGTAAGATCCTAATTTTAATTTATCCATCTCTCTCTTAATCTCTTCTTTTTCACTCGCTATTGATGTACTTATTCGTTTTTAGGTTCAACAAATAAAGAAACACAACATATTTCCGATAATTTAGATTCGTGATTAAATATATTCATACTAAATAATTTTATCCAATTAGAATTTAAAGGCAAAGTCGGTTTCCTCACGATATTTTCCTTCACCGTTCGAGCTAACATTAAATGCACACATAGAAAGAAAGTCCATTGGTGCACAACCGGAGATCGATCGATCTCAGGAATGAGAGTCACACTCTGAAGGCACTAGACCAAAATTGCTCTCTCATCTACTGGGCGTAAATAGTAATTTTTATTATATTAAATTGGTTGATTAATGGCAAACATTTTTTGTTTCAGACTACCTCCTAATGATCCTAGTGATATAATTACAATAGCTGATGAACCTGTGAATAAAAAAACCAGGCTAAGTGACGAAACAGAAAGAATCAGTCTCAGTAGTGAAAATATAAGTTCAGTAGAAATAAGCGATGATTCCGATTCAGAAGTTATACAAGAAGTTGATGTTGTAATACATGAACCAAACGATATAGAAATGCAAGAAGTAAATGCGACCAAAAATAATAAAGGAATCAGTATCGAAGGTTCAGTACATATTGAAAATGAATTAGATAAAACACCGAAAACAAATAATTCTGACATTTATGATATGGCAACACAGATATCAGAGTGCACACTATCTGAGAATGGAACAGCAACACCAACACCTAAAACAGCTAAATACAATAATTTGCTGGGAAGTGTTGATAATATGGCGACGCAAATTCCAATAGAGAAAAATACGATACATGAAGCACCCACGCAACTTCCGTTGAACAACTCAATAGATACATTAGATGGTGATGATGCAACGTCATCATTAGAAGTAACCTATGATTATCCCAATACAGGAAATGAAAAAATACCTGTTCTAGAAAAAATTGAAGATTCAAATCTACCATTGTCAAACGAGACCGATGATATTCAAATAACTTGCGGGCAAGTCCTCAACTCACAAGAAGAAAGCAAATGCGATTCTGAGAAATCGAAAGAAAATTTGGAAATAGTCGAAAACGGGGTTCAAAACGTCAATGTTGAAGTTAGTGTATGTGATGCAAATGTACAGAAAAAAGGTGCTTTATCTGTGGAAGAGATGATGGCTGATTTTGTCGATGAAGTGCAAGATGAAACATAAATTCTATATAAGCAGTGCCAATTTTTGCAGTTATTCTTTAAGCTTAAACAATTTGAAAGGTACCTTATAAGCGTGAGATTCAGAAGACGAGACTAAGAACGATGACTCCCGTATGTCAAAATCCATTACATTTTTGACGTACGTGAGTCCGACTTACAGCTAAGTCTCGTTTCTGAATCTCTCCCTGAGGCTCGTATTCTAGAAAGCTGATCAAGCTTAAATCTAGTTTTTGTATGAAGTTTGACATATCGACAGCGCTGAAGACGAGATTGTTTCTTGAGATACAAATTAGAAAGTGGTTCCTAGAGTAATTACTATCATAAGCTTATTTGTAGCCCTGCAATGAGATCGTCTGTATTTTAAGAGTATTTGAGTGACTTGTTATTAAAGCATTTATCTGTTTAAATATACTGAAGTTTTTATTAATTAATCATTTATTCCTTTATCAGTGTTTTCTATAAAAAATCCAAGTAATGATTCTTAATTGTTATAAAAATATGTTTTGATATTTTTTGAAATTTTAAATAATTTTTCAGTTTTGTATTACTTTTAAGAGGTACATACATTTTTAATTACTATAGAAAATAGAAATATATAACATTTAACCTTAATAAACAATTTATAACATTAAATACAATTTAAAATAAAACGCTTAAGATTAATACAGACTTTCAATACTGGGTTTGCCAAAGAATTTCTTCAGCCCTATGAATAACAATTATCAATAAATTAACTAGACCATGACGTAACGCATGACACTCGTAAGATATCGTCAGCTAACTTATTATATGTCCGCTATAAAACATACGAATATAGCTTTTTATACAAAAAAATTCACTATTATCTTAAGAAGTCGGATCGGAGTTGGCCACAGATCAGCGAGAATGAAAATAACAGTATTTACACATAAAATGGCATTTGAAACTTTTGAGTTATAGATGTCAATTGTCGTTAAAACCAAAGGCGCAAATTTGTAAACAAATAAATTTTTCATTTGTAAATTGTAATTGAATACAAGACACAAAGTATGAAACATCAATAAATAGGGTATTTTATAATTAAGAACCCTTATTTAATTCAAATTAATATTATAAATTTTAGGTACAATATTAATTCGCCATGGTAGTAGCTATAGGGTTTGAAGGAAGTGCAAATAAACTAGGCATTGGTATTGTGAGAGATGGAGAAATTCTGGCTAACTGTAGACGTACCTATATAACACCACCTGGAGAAGGTCTTGAATCTTATCTAAATATTTTATAACTGTTTAAGAATATCTTGACAAAATAATACATCTTCATGCATTAAAATATAGGTTATATTCTATTGCATGGTAGAACCATTCGATTTAATCTACATTTGTTTTAATCAATATTACTTTTAAGGTTTCTTACCTAGAGAAACAGCTGAACATCATAGAGAAAATATACATGAGGTTTTAAAAGAGGCTCTTGAACAATCTGGATTAAAACCAAATGAAATAGATGTAGTTTGTTATACAAAAGGCCCTGGGATGGGTGCACCTTTGAGTGTGTGCGCGATTGTAGCCAGGACATGTGCCTTATTATGGAACAAACCTATTTTAGGTGTCAACCACTGTATTGGCCGTATCCTTTAACAAAAAAGTTGATGACTTATTTTATTAAACATTTTTAAACATTATGTGTTCCTTATCCAACCATCAGATATAGAAATGGGTAGACTAATAACACAAGCTCACAACCCAACAGTGCTTTATGTTAGCGGAGGTAATACACAAATTATAGCATACTCCAGGCAGAGATATAGGATATTCGGAGAGACAATTGATATTGCTGTAGGCAATTGTTTAGATAGGTAAAATACATTTTAAAAAGTTCTATATTGTAATATATAATATATGTATCTGGATAATATTTTGGTAGGATATTCTATAAATTTTTATGTAAAAAATTAACAGGACATATATCTCTGAAAATTATTTTTTCAATGATAAATTCTGTATTACAGATTTGCAAGAGTATTAAAATTATCAAATGCACCAAGTCCAGGATACAATATTGAGCAGTTGGCAAAGAAAGGCAAAAAATATTTACACTTACCATATTGTGTTAAAGGTATACATAATAATGTCATTAGAATAATGTCTTGAGGCTGATTAAAAGTACTATTACTAATGCAGCAGTAAGTAAATTTGTGTATAATACTCTATATTCCAGGAATGGATGTAAGTTTTTCGGGAATCCTATCATTTATGGAGGATAAAATAGAAGAATTGCTGAAAGAGTATTCTCCAGAAGACTTATGCTACTCTCTGCAAGAAACTGTATTTGCTATGCTGGTAGAAATCACTGAACGGGCCATGGCACATTGTGAATCACATGAGGTCTGACAAATCCTATATTTTTACTTATTTAAAGCTACAGATTCTTTTTTATTTTACTACATTGACGAGGGCTTATTGGATGGGGTGGTGAGATAAAATATTTTAACTTATTTAAAAAAAACTTAGTAAATAAAGTTGCTGAGTTTCTTGCCCATTCTTCTCAGAACAAGGCCTCCTGGTAGTTTTGCGAACGGATGGCGTAGTCTTGCTCTTTCGAGAATTTTGTTAACGTTTTTGACATTCATAAGCATGCCCTAAGACGCATCTAAATTGAATAAACATATTTTGATTTTTTTATTTTGAGTAGGTGATTGGCCTTCTGTACCTGAAACATGCCAGTGATTTTCCTTTGAGTTTAAGAAATGTTGCTTTCTTGTCATATAAGCGAATGTTAAATACACACTTAAAAAAATCTAACACCCAATTTTACCCATAAAGAGAAATATAAAAATATCTTCTAGGTCCTCATAGTGGGTGGTGTTGGTTGTAATGAACGATTACAAGAAATGATGGGTATTATGTGTTCAGAAAGAGGAGCCAAAATATTTGCTACAGATGAACGATTTTGTATTGACAATGGTGTTATGATTGCTCATGCTGGGGCGTCAGCTCATGCATCTGGAACTAGGATGGATTTTGAAGACTCCACTGTCACACAAAGATATAGAACTGATGATGTTTTAGTAACATGGCGACAAGATTAAATTTAAATGTTGATCTAATTTTTTATTCTTTGAGACAAGGTATTATATCATTTTATTAAAATTATAACTAATTCAGACACATAAATTCACTTTATTTTGATCAAAATAACTCAGACCATTTCATTCACAACAAAATATTACAAACATTATATCTGTTTCTATAACACACTATTAAACTTAACAATACACATAAATAGAAAGAATTTTCATAAACCATATAAATCTGAACCACAAATTAGTTTTATTTTGTAATTTCTGTAAAATTGATTTTATCAGATGCCTTTATTAATGAAATAATAACAATATCATAATATCTGTCTTTTCAATATGTAGTATTAAAAGCCTATCCACAACCCAATTATTATGAATGTTCTTTATCACCTTGTACTTTACACAACAAACTCTTTGATAAATTGTCTCAATTGCAATAAGCTCCAAACTAATAGATGCAGAAATAGTCTACCTGGCAAAGCATAACTTGATTTATCCAATAAAACTGTAGTCAGATTAAATAATAGGCTAACAACAATAGAGACTATTGGATTAAAGTAAATTGGTATCAATGCTAAGCAAAAACAATTTAACTCATTCTATACACAATTACATCACCAAAGAAACAATATATTCTAAAGAGTTGGTAAAATTAAATATTTCCACACCACATAAATTACAATTTTACCATTAAAACAATTGATGCAAAAGCAGATTGGTCTTTTATGTTATGATAGCATTCTTCAGTATTAAATAATGATGTTGATTAAAAAACATTCATAATAGTATCAGCAATCAAGTCTTGGCTATATTGGCACTATAATTCAATACTGGTCTCATAAACTACTGGTCCCATGTAGGCCTGTATACATAATTATCCATGTGACCTGAAAGTACAATTTTTGTTTAAAATTGTCAAAGATTAAGAGAAACACAATACTATCAGTATTGTGTTTCATTGACACTATTTTTCTTTAAAATATATAGTTATTTTCATTTTATTAGTAGATTTATATTACAAAATAATATTTAAACATTTAGGTTGGCCGTAATTTAAATTTTAGGATAATCTAAGAGTACTTACTAAGAAACCAGCAAAAGATGTCATAAACCCCTCTTTGGTTATTTCCCACATTCCTCCAAACTCTTCTTCATCTACATTTTGAATACTGCTTACATAGAAATATATTACTGCTGCATTCACAACCACAAATCTGAAATGAAATTAAAAAAAAATAGCTAGATGGCATTTGCGGCCTACTCCTAGACAATTTCTACACATACTTGGCTTAAAAGCTAGCTGACTTATTTAATAAATAATTACTTGTAGAAATATTAAGAACTTACAAGAGAAGTCCCAAGAATCCTTTTAATGGTAATAAGCCCCAACAAAGGCCCAATACAATGCCTATTGCCTGTCGCATCCAATAAATAACATCTAGAAACTCCTCCTAAAACAATAATTCCATTTTACCAGTTATTAATTAAATATTTAATCCGAAAATCCCGTGATCGCGCCTAACCTTGTCAGGCCATTCAGCGTTCGAAGAAAATGTTTTTTTCCATACTGAATCATTTAATTTAATTTTACTTGCACTATCTAACGTTTTACTTTTAGTAGACATTTCGGTTTTGTGTGATTATCTTCACCTTCTTTAATGATTTATTTAAATCAATAAATAAAAAGGATTCAATTAAGTTGATATCGTGAATTGAATTTGAATACGTCACTGTCATTTACATCTGATACGTCACGCTGACGTTTTTAACTGGTTCACTGCATTTCCTGTTCGTCCGGAAATTCTTAGTCAGCGCTGCCTCGTCACAATTTCGATGAAAATTGTGAATATTAATATTATACAAAACATCTTTTAAATACATATTATACAGTCAAAATCTGTTATAACGACATCGAAGGGACTACTTTTGTTAGGTCGTAAAAACCGATAGTCGAACAGCCGATGATGTTATTAAGTACATACCTAATATAATAGAATTCAGCCGGGACCTTTGATTTTGGTCAATATAACCGGTATGTTGTTCTAAACGATGTCGTAAACGGTTTTGACTGTATTATAAAAATATATGTCGAATAATCCTAACGAAACTAAAAATTCAATTCTATGAGTAGTTTCTTTTGTGTACGCAAAAGTAAGCTTAGTATGAAATCGATTAAAAAAGCAAACCACTGATACAATTCAAACGTTTTGAAATAGAATTTGATATTTAACATATTAATATAGTGAAAATTGTTTACCAATGTAATACACATGTACAGACCATGTACTTTTTAACAATGGACAATTTTTAAGTATGTTCGTCTAAATTGAGGCAGAATTTAAAATAAAACGCAATTTTGCTAATATGTTTTATTAAAAAAAAAATGTATAAAAGCTAAAACGGTGCCACTCTATTCTTTAATCTTATAACTCGTTCTTCCTCCATCTTCTTAGTGATATCCCAACATTCTTTATTTAGTGTATCGAAACCGCGGGACAAACTGACCAGCCGCGCCAGAACTAAAAGCCTGTGCAAATCATCTGCAGAAACTGGGTTGTCATCATCTGACTTACTACGCATTTCTATGAAATCTTCTTCTACAAACTGAAAGGATAAAAACATCCTACTGTCAAGAATAATAATTTTAACAATAACAATTCAGATATCTCATCTCTAATTTAGAAATCCTTTAAAATCCATATACCGTAACTAATAAAAGAAAGTAAGATAGATTTTATTATAATAGAATTTGTGCCCTTTATTTTATTATAATAAATTTTTTAGAGTCACAATTTTTGTAAACCCACTATGTACTATACCTGTAAATCATCTGAAATACTGTACTTCACAAGTTTAAGACTTGTTAAATATATTCGTATTGAATTCATTATTTCCTCTTTAAGATAATAATTAGCTGCTTCCACGATGGCATCGAAAATGTCCAAAGATGATTTTTCTGGTCTCAATGGAACATGATAGTCACTCTGTAACAAGCCAAGCCTATTTAAAGTAAATAAAATAAAGTATTAAAAAAAATATCAGTTTTTTCATGCAATTACCTATTTTTATATATGAAAAAATATATAATATCAATAATTTCAAGGACAATAGCATTAAGGTTATGTTAAAAGTTTTTTAATGCACTTTTAAAATGGAATTTCAATTGAACTCCTTGGAGTCCTTACACATCAATAAAAAATTGAATAATTCCACTTTTGAATTTTATTGCCAATGACGTTTGGCTATTAATATAATTTCTCAGTTACCAGACACTTACCGGCAACAATTAAAAATAAATGAAATTTTCTATCTGAATAAAGGCTTTTATTATTATTATTATTATTACCGGCAACAAACTCTTTCCTTCGGATAATACCAAAACTGATATATCTGAATCAAACTCCATTTTGTAATATTTGAAGTCGTACTCAACCTTCTGGAGCTTAATTAAATTACCAAGTGCAGCTATATTATTAACTCCGGTTGCATCTAACTGCCCTTGTTGCATTTGTGTCTCATCTAGAACTAGATGAGTGTGTTTGCTTAGTTGAAGTATACCACTTGTTAATCTATTGCAGTCATAATCTTTTCTGAAAATGAAAAAAATATATATTAAGAAAAGCAAGATTACCTTAAATTGTCTTGTAATTAGAAATATAAAACATACCTACCATATAGTTCAGTTAACTTATGTGAATAATACTTTATAATTTAAATAGCTCATTATATAAATACTACTATGACTCAAGTTGAAAGTTTGATTTACACCTAGAACAGGGGTTTAACCGTATTAGAAGTCAAAACAGTTTTTTAAACACAAAGAATTATCATTGACTGACATTTCTAAATATTATTTATATCAAGATTTTTAAAGTATGTTTTTTTATTTGTATTCTCTGGCAAATTAATAATTAACTTACTTTGGTAATAGGGCCATTGTGTTCATATTATCAACCGTCAATGGAAGGTAATAACTCTTGGTAACAAACTGTTTTATAACATCATATAATTGTTTGGCATAATTTGGGTAACGTTTTGTTGGTAAGTTTGACAGGTTGAGGCAAAACTGACCAAGTGTTATGGTATCTTGGCGGAGGTAACTGAAAAAAAATTTAAATGGGTTTTGATACAACAATCATAAAAACTGAGTTACTCAAGCAATGCAATATACCGATATAAATATATATTGGCATATCCTGATATAATGTAATTGAGCAATGTTATTAGGTCCATATCATTTTAGTCATAAGCATTATTTTAATATTAAATTTATTTAAAAACAACTCACACACAAGCTATAAGGTGGCAAATGAGATACTGGGCAGCCAATTCATCTCCCAACAATAGTTCTGTCAATGCTTTAAGTAGATGATCCCGAGCTGAATTTGATTCTACTAGCATATTTTCTGAAAAACAAAAAATTATTTAAGTTTTTTAAATTAGTTATTTAATTAGATTTCACCAGAAATCAAGACACATATAACTATTGAGACAAGTAAGAAAAAGGCAACGCTTTATTGACAGACCAAGACAAGACATAACAAATTATCATGTATATCTGTGTTGAATAAAAAAAATTAAGTATATAAGACTAATTGTTATTTATAAATCTATCTGTAAGATATAGGATTTACAGAAATATAAAATAGTGGTCAATTACTAATAAAAAAATAAAAAAAATTGCAACATACCTTGGTTAGCATCCTTTATCAATGGATTACAATGCTCCAATTTCTTAACATAGACCACATGCAACCGAGGCACTAGGCTTGGCGGTGGATTATGTGTTATTGTTTCTGCTTGTGTCTCATCATTTGGCTCCATGAAAGCATTGTTTTCAGCTTGAAATTCTCCTGATAATCCAGGGTCTACTGATAAAAATCCAACAACTTCCACCATATCATTTATTTTAAGATTCTCACTGTCATCATAGATCTGTAACGGTATTGGTATATATATTTTTATGTTAATACTTAGTAACTTGTCACATATTCTTTATATTATGCCATTTTTAATAAAACCTTAAACTTTCATTACAATATAGTTATGATACTGGTTCTGAGAAGAAATGTGTATATTTAGAAAATACCTTAATGATACATGATTTGCTTGCAACATCAGGCAATGGAAAGTTTAATAAATGCTCTCTGGATACAATATTAGATGGTTCTACAGCCTTGTCAGATACTTTTGCTTCTTTTTTTCCCATTTCAGCTACTGTTACTTCCATGGCATCGGAGTCTTCCTCACATTCTTCATAACTACGCTTCAAATTTGTTGAATTTAGTCGTTTTGAAGTGTTTGGCTGATCATTTAAATGTGATAAATGATTCTTGTCATCTTCAACCTTTTGTGCCCATTCATTTAAACCAGGTAATGACACAACTACCATTGTCTGTCTTTGTGCACTTTTCAAATTTTCTGTGTAGTTAATTTTTTCATTTTCCTATAAAATAATTTTTTATTAGAGACAAGTCTAAAATAATAATTCGAGTTAGAAGTATCTCGCACTTACCAAAATAGAGGATGTGTCTGTGTATTTGCCAGACTTTGTTTTTACTTCATTGGTTATAGTGTTAAACACTTCAAATTCCTCAAAATAAAATTCTGGGTTGTGCATATCTTGTACCATGCCCCGGAACCGTGCCAGAGTACCATCAGACAGATTGTGTGAAGCATTTGAATTTATGAGTGGTATCTTGAAAGGACACAAGGGTTAAGTGGAGGTCAAAACAATACAAATAAGTCACGAGAAAACGATATCTTACCTTATACCAATTTGGTAACTTAAAAAGCCTTTCCTTCCATTGTTCTTCATTTTGTCTCCAAACATCAGGAGTCACCGTTTCAAAATCATGCATACTCCGAACCATTGATACTGTTTATTCAAGAACTATGACCTATTCAAGGCTTTATTCGTTCAAATTACAATAACGAAGTGCGTTATTAAATATACACAAAAACGCTATCGTATACGGGTGCTCGTTAATCGAGAAAATAACACTTGCACTGTATATATGTATTATTCTAATGTAAATAAATTATAAAATTGTTAGAAAATTTGCGCGCTAAGTGCCGTTGCGACTTGCGCGCGCACTCGGTTCCAATCACAGAACACTAACTACTTCTAAGTTCTAGCGAAGAAGAACAACAACTTCATAGTAAAAAAATGCTTACACCAGCGCTCCAGTTAATGCCATCAGGCATCAGTACTATCGTATGGCGCGAGGATTTAAAATGGTATGCAAACTACAGAATTTTAAGGAGTAATTTCATGTAGAGAAATTAAACAAGGAGTGGACATGTGTAACAATTTTATTAAACTGCAATAATTAAAGTTAATAACACAACACAAAAGCGTCAATATAGCAAAGTAAGAGTATCTCGTTAAAATGTTGATATCACAACACAAAAGCGTCAATTTTGCACTGAAGTATCTTCGTAATTGATGATTATACAGCACAATTAGCTTTTTTGCAGTAGCTCTATTCAGCAAGAACTATTTACGTTAATTCAAACTCTGAACTTTTGTACTGAAATAAATCAGGCGGTAGAAAAGAAACCGCAAAACGATTTTAAAATTTTCACTTCACAACTTCATTATTTTGTACACAGTGTTACTATTAAAGAAAAATTAAATGCCATTGAAATAAAATAGTAAGAAAAGTATTTTTATATTCTAATAAATTTAATAGATAGCCATTATTATAATAAAATAATATGATGAATATGATACTGATGTTATTAACATTAATAACAAGAAGAAAAAAACATTAAAAGTTTGCTGACGTTGGATAATTTAAAATTCAATATGGTAGATATTTATTCCATCAGGTATTATTGATCTGGATATAGCTGATTGCTTTTTTTGTAGAGCGCTTTCTCATTTTCGTAGATAGTGCCATTGCTTGCATTGACTTATACGAAAGCTGACGGATTGTGGTACCAATAAACCCACTACAAAACTGAAAAGACTACACTCTAAAAGAGTATATTATATATTATAATCATTTCGAATTCCTTATATAGTCGAATTTTTAATTAGACGAAGCTATCTGACAGTAGCTAATGTCACTTAGTAAAATAATGTTGCCACATTTAAAGTAATAGTGATACATTCAGTTCTTGTTCAATCAGATGAATGAACAATGAGTGAGTGTGAATAGTTAATCATTTCAAACTATAAAATAATATTATTACTATTTTAAAATTGTATAAAAGATTTCTGATATAAGTTAGGTACTAGTAGTATGTAACTACAATCAGTTTTTTGACGGCTGTAATACAGAGCGCGGCGAGGCGACTAGTGCCAACACCGATCGACGCCGCGCGCGTCGGTCGCCATTTTGTTTGTCATTCGGCTTCTAACCTCTGGTCTGATAGCACGAATGTTTTTTCTGCGCTCACGCTGTTTAGTTATAGTTTTTGTTAAGTTTTTCATTACGTTGTGTTTGTGGTTATTGTTGTGTTTTTTTATTTCTATATTGTTTCGTAAAAACGATATGGATCCTCAACCAAGCACGTCAAGCCAAAGCTTGTCTCCAAGAAAGAAGAGACCACGGATTGCTTTAAGCGTTACCGAAAAAGTTATGATACAAAACGTCTACAAACACGTATTTGAGGAGAAAGCTGCTTTACTATTACCTATTGAGGCTCCCGAAAAAAAGAATGTGTTTCGAAAACAGCTGACATTTTGGGAATTAGCGTGACCTCAGTTTACAGTGTATTAAAAGAATACAAAGAAAATGAACAATTTAAGTCTCCCGAGAAACGTGGACCGAAACACAATTTCAAAGATAAATTAGACGATTTTACTTTGGCCGCTATAAGGCGAAAAGTTCATAATTTTTTTTATGCAAATGAGTCACCCACCATTATAAAGGTAACAAACTTTATTCCATCGACTGCATTATATTCTGTGTCCACAATAATGATCTTTGTAAAACCAAAGTATTAGATTGCGTAGACTTCCTTACTCAAAAACGTTTTTTTATTACTTCACAGATTCTTAAGGTTGTCAATGAAGACCCAGACTTACCCAATTTTTCTTGGAGTACATTAAGAAATGTTATGAAACATTTAAATTTCAAATATGTCACAAAATCAAGAAAAAGCATGTTAATTGACAGACAGGACATTATGTTATGGCGCCAGCGATACCTTCGCAAAATTAAAGAGTATCGAAGGGAAGGAAGGTATATTTATTACCAAGATGAAACCTGGATCAACGAAGGTAATTACAATTTTCTGTTTTCTTTACATTAAATTGTACTTTCATTAACTAATTGTTATTTTTCATTATCTTGTAGGTCATGCACCGAAGAAGGCATGGATTGACCAGACAGTGTTATCGACTCGCCAGGCCTTCCTAGATGGCCTGACTACTGGCTTAAAACAGCCTTCAGGAAAGGGCAAACGATTAATTATCGGCCACATAGGTGGGGAAGAAGGATTCGTAGAAGACAGCTTACTAATATTTGAAGCCAAAAAAAGTAAAGAAGACTATCATCAAGAAATGAATGCCGATTCCTTTGAGAAGTGGTTTAGTGGAGTCTTGCCAAAACTAAAACCAAATTCCGTTGTAGTGCTAGATAATGCCCCCTACCACTCCAGGAAACTAGAATCGCTGCCTAAAATGTCTTGGACTAAACCTAAAATACAAGAGTGGCTAACGAGCAAAAATATTTCATTCGAAGCAACAATGGTTAAAGCTACTCTTATAGACATTGTACGGCAGCACAAACAAGATCATTTCGAAAAGTATGTTGTGGACGAGATAGCAGCGCAGCATGAGATAATTGTTTTACGTCTGCCCCCATACCACTGTGAGCTTAATCCCATTGAGTTGGTATGGGCGCAGGCTAAAGGATATGTTGCAAAAAATAATAAAACCTTCAAAATGACAGAAGTAAAAAAACTTTTTTGAAGAAGGACTTAAACTAATCACACCTGATAAATGGCGTAGCTGCGTGTCTCACATAATGAAAGAAGAAGATAAAATGTATGGTCTCGACGACATGATCGACAATGTTTCAGACAGATTTATTATTAATGTCACCGAAAGCGATAGTGATGATTTTTTATCTGATGATGAATAAAAACAAATTATGTAATAAGCGATGTTTATTATTTTCATTACCAACCTATAATTGTTATAATATTAAACATCTATAGTATAAACTACATGATATATTGAGAATAGGACAGTCTTACAAGTTTCCTCGCAATGATTTCCTTAATGTTAAAAACAATTGGTATTTAGTACTAAACTCGTTGGTATGTTCAAAGCACGACTAAAATTCGAACCCGTATCCGATATCGGCAGTACGCAACGTTAACTATTCACTAGGCAATCGAGGCAATTTTATTAATTCAGGAGTTTTTTCAATCATTCACAAATCATGTGACAAACACAACACTATTTTTATTTCATTAAAAACTGACAACACCGTAAACGTCAGTTGATATCGTCTAATTAAAAATTCGACTATAGATATTATCATTTAATTTTCTATATTTTGTTTTGTCTGTGACATGTACTGATTAGTTTCTATCTAGTCTGTGGTATAGGTATCGCGATTCGCCGGACGCCGACCGCGTCGGTACCTACTTGATGCAGGAATAGGATACTGTATTTCGCTAGTTCGTTAGTTTTAACTTACAACTCATGCATTGTAATTTGATTTTATAGTTTTAATAAAACAGCAAGTGCATTCATAACAAACTACAGCTGTGGGATTCCTACTGTTAACAGCGGATGACTACGTTATTTCAATATTGTTATTGAAAATACTTTCATTTTATAAAATAGCTAAGAATTTTGAACTTTTTCTGGAAAAAGTTGTTTCTACTATCTGACCAGGACATACGGTACTGAAGAATAAGAATAATATATTATGAGTACGTATTTTTACTCTATTTATTATACATTAAACTCGATTTTATTATTTGAGGTTAGAAAAGGACGCGGTTGTAGCGCAAATTAAAACTAACAACTATTTTCAGCAATGGATATCCGACCAAATCATACGATATATATCAACAACCTGAACGAAAAAATAAAAAAGGATGAATTAAAGAAGTCATTATATGCTATATTCTCACAATTTGGCCAAATATTAGATATAGTAGCCCTTAAAACGTTAAAGATGAGGGGACAAGCTTTTGTAATATTTAAGGAAATTTCCAGTGCTACAGTTGCACTGCGAAGTATGCAAGGATTTCCATTCTATGATAAGCCAATGGTAAGAGAACTTTCACTAATTACTCCTATTTTATCCTTAAATAACACTTGTGTCCATATCATAAAAAGCTATTGTTAATATGATATTTCATGAATTTAATTAATATAAGTATGAATATCTGAGTGGGTCAGGATTTACTATTAATTAAAATTATCAGAATACTTATTTCTTGTGACATTGTAATTGATATCTATCCATGGCTCTAAGGCTTCCTATATAAAATTATGAATCATATATGTGTACAGACTATAGACATATTCTTACATAGTCATTTTTAACTTATATCTTTCAGAGGATTCAATACTCAAAAACTGACAGTGATGTCATTGCTAAAATAAAAGGTACCTTCCAAGAAAGACCTAAACGGCCTAAAATGCCCAAGTCATTGGAAGACAGTAAGAAGAAGAAGAAAGATGCTAATAGAAATGCTGTGCCTGGATTTGGTCAACCTGGTCACCTTAATAATGTTAATGCGGAACAACCTCCAAACCAGATTCTGTTCCTTACAAACCTCCCAGATGAAACCTCTGAGATGATGTTGTCTATGTTATTCAACCAGTTAGTATTATTTTATAACTTTTCATTCTATAGAGATTTAGAGACAATTTTATGGGGTTTTATGTAAACTTTCTTCTGATCCATAGTCATACAATTTTGACTTACTACAATTTATAGATCTACAAAATGACCATATTATTACCATGTATATATTTTAAAAAAACATTGATTTAATCCTAATTTAAGAAATAGCTTTGATTATAGGTGCAAACTGCATATACATTAATTTATATGCTCGAAAATTCATAAGTTAATCTTGATGCAAAATTTTAATCATTAGCTCATTTAAATTTGATGTAGCATATATAAGCAATTTCCACTAGTCATTATAAAATCTCATATAAACATATTCTTTCTAGATTTCCTGGTTTCAAAGAAGTCCGTCTGGTGCCCAATCGGCATGACATTGCATTTGTGGAGTTTGCAAATGAAATGCAGTCTGCAGCAGCCAAAGAAGCACTACAAGGATTTAAGATTACTCCAACACATGCAATGAAAATTACATTTGCTAAGAAATAAGATGTATTTTAGTTAAAATAAAGTTTTAAGTATATTGAGAACTGTTTGGAGCATTGCACTAAGCCTTAACAGCTCTCTCTCTCCGGCTGTGATAATTTATTACAAGATGGTATTCTTCTATCCAAGCAATAATCCATTCCATCCGACTCCTGCTTACTATTACTTAGTTTTAATTTTTTTAATAACTGCTGAGGTAGTTGGTAGCATTGATAATAATAATGTCTATATTAGTCTATAATGTGGTAGGTACCATTCTAAAGAGAAGAAATTTTCAAAATTCAATTAATTTATATCTAAACTTCTGTGGAATAGAAGTAGGTCGAAAGACGAATGTTGTTATGTTTATAATAATAATTGCGTTAAAAGGAGTGGGATATATTTCATCGCAGTGTGTAAAAGAGAGAACGATAATAAAAATAGACTCCGTAACTTGGTTTCTTTGTGTTGTTATTTTGGGAGATTGCGAAACTGTCAAAGTCAAATCATGAATGAGTCCATCCGTAGCATTTTTTAATAAATTTAACACATAATTTAAATAATATTTGTTTACTTTTCGTGTGAACAATATATGACGAAAAAAAACTAAGATACTGGAATTATATACGTTTAAATAAAGTAGTTGTGCCTTAAAACATGGAAGATATATTTCAGTGGTGCAGGGAAGGAAATGCCTTACAAGTACGAGTTTGGTTGGATGATACTGAACATGATATGAATCAGGGGTAAGACCAAACATTATTCTCTTTCTCATTATCCATAAAAGTATATATCCAGTGCATAAAATTGTCTAAGCAATAAAAAGGGTCCCTTTTAAACCTACGCCCTTGTCGCCCACAATATGTACGTAATATGGTGTGGCACAGCGCTAGCAGATGTTTTAAATACTTATTTTATAAGAAGCAATGATGCTTAGGCTATTCATTATATATATAGTATATATACAGTTATACACAAGCAGGGTATAATATGACTAACATAACTTTTAAGACTAGCTAATAAATAAAACTTCAAGATATTCTAACAAAACAATGAAATATCTGTCTAGTTTAAAGAATTATCTTTATAATATATTTAAAATAATCATAAACCCATGAATCATTAGACCAAAAACACATTTTCCTGTTATTTCCACCTTCCTCATTTGTAACTTTTACAATAAAATGTTTTTAGTGATGACCATGGCTTCAGCCCTTTACACTGGGCCTGTAAAGAAGGTCACATTAAGATTGTTGAGATGCTTATTAGAAGAGGTGCTCGGATTAATGTTACAAACATGGGGGATGATACACCATTACATCTAGCTGCTGCACATGGACATAGACCTATTGTACAATTGGTAACTACTAAATATATTTCTTTTTATAATCTGTCAGCTTTTAAAATGGCTTACATACTGAATAATAGACACTCCTTTTGTGATTACACAGATAGTATTTTTTTATCAAAACATTAGAAATCTGAAATGCAACATTCTAGTAACAAAATATAAAAATTATTTCAGCTGTTACAAAACAGGGTGGATGTAAATTTCACAAATGAACATGGCAACTCTCCACTACATTATGCCTGTTTTTGGGGATACAGCGCCATTGCTGAAGACTTGGTGATTGCTGGAGCATTGGTCTCATTGGCCAATAAGGATGGTGACACACCACTTGATAAGACTAAGGGTCAACTTGTTCAGAGGTAAGTTTGAGGTCAAAAGAACATCTATTCTTCTTTAGGGTGATTTAACTTGTTTTTGACATGTAAATATATAATACCCTGCCTTGAAATTCTTAATTCTATTGAGTGAGATTCCCATTTTCATCCTTCGAGAACAATGATAAAATTAAAAAAAATGTTTATTTGCTTTCCCTATATAATGACATCTTTCAAACTGTTCCAGATGTTTAAATGTGCACATTTATAATTGACTGACAACGGGAAAATGCCACTTTCTAATAACACTAAAAAAATATCTTATATTTCTAGATTACATGAATTGGCAGTTAATCAAGGCCAGGATTTAAAGAAGATTCAGTTCAAGGACCAATCCTGGTTGGGACTCAAGACTAGGAGCCGGGATGCCACCCTCTCCCGACACAAGGGAATTAATATAAACGAACTAGCCTTACATACGCGTATTGCTGTCACTCCCTCTGGTAAGAACCGACTTTAATTAATCTTAATATACACTAGGGTAGTAGGACTCCTTTCTCCGCAATTAGACTCGTAAGTGGTCCATTGTGCGTACCTTAATATACACTAACATAATATCATAATATATTTGGTTTTTAATTTTCATATATGAATGTACTATATGTTAATTTAATTGTATACAAACTGTGTAGTAATAAGTTACAACTTTTTCGAAATTCCTAAAAATATATTATTTTATATAAAAAAAATGTCTAATAATGTTTTTTACATAAATTAAAATAGCACTTTTTTATATAACACTAATCAAAATTTATTTTTGTGAAAGGATTTTTTCTTTTGATTCGTTTTTAATATACCTATATGTGCCATAGCTTAGAGCAGCGTTGGTCGTAGGTTCGAACTTTGGCTGTGCAACATTAAACTTTCTGTCTAAGTGCAACTGATGTTCCATACATATAATATAACGTTATAAATTAATCAATCTTTTTTTTTTAATTCAGGTGAAACATGGCGTGGTCGTTGGCAAAAGAATGATATAGTTGCGAAGATAATCGCTGTAAGGGAATGTACGCCCCGCGTGCAGCGAGACTTCAACGAAGAATTCCCCAAACTTAGGATATTTTCTCACCCAAACATATTGCCTGTTGTAAGTATTATTGATACGTACATATACAGCAAGTTTAAAATAAGCATGTGTATAAAATTTATAGTATTTTTTATCTTACCTAAAACAATTGACAGCAGACAGTAAAAAAGTATGTAGACTCCTTGGTTCCACAGGTCTCAACGAAAGTCAATAATTTTAATGATTGTGATTAGAAATTCTATGGTTTTACATTCATTTAATTGGAAAATTTAAAACTTGGGCTTAATATTTGACCACTATTTGATCAGATTTTAAAACCATTTCAGATTATTTATAAGTGACCAAACCATATACGAATTGTTTTTTTAATTCTGTTAAGTATTGAATAAAATATTCTAATTAAGCATTTATAATTTCATGATCCCGCCAAAAAGCTTTTCTAAGCAAGATGGCGTCATACCAGTCGATGCTTGTAAACACGTAACATCAAGTTTTTTACGTGTTAGTTATCATTTTGCGATTTGTATGTTTGATTTATATTTCGATAAAAAACAGTCACACTGACTAATTAAACTCCTAGACGGTATTAGCAATAGACAGGCAAAGACATCATGCATTATTTAAACGCATACTATGTCATTTTGTGTCGTTATTGTCATTTTGTGTCACGTGACTGACGTATAAAAACCAATATTTTTAAATATGGATTTTTGACAAAGATTAATTATTTGCAAGTTATTTTACTCATAACACTTTGTTACCTATGTTTTATACAGATTGAGAATAATCTTTATTTTCCATTTAAAATAAGATTTATAGTTGTAGAAAGTGAATCAAGCAAGGGAGCGTTCAAGTATTACGTCACGCAACTTTTGGAGATTATTGACCCCCTATGTAACGCGCCGTAACGTTTTTCTGTACCCAAGTATAGTAAAACGCTTCGTGACCACCCAGTGACTCTTTATACCTAAAAGTTACCATTATGAGGTGGTAATAATTAAATCCCCGCCCCGTATCGTAACGTCTCCCCCCAAAATTCGTTACGTAATACTTGAACGCTCCCTAATTTAACAGACTATATGTGCATTTTTTAATGTGCTTATTATCGGCCACTATTAAACGAATTTATAATTACTATTCTAGGTGGGATGCTGCGTCTCTCCTCCATCTTTGGTAGTAATATCTCAATACATGTCATGGGGCTCACTCTATTCTCTTCTCCACGGTGGGGCTGGGGGTCGCGTAGTAGTAGACGCAGCCGCGGCCTTGCGTCTAGCGAGAGATGTGGCCGCCGGGCTTGCCTATCTCCACTCCTTGCAACGCGACCGAATTCTGCCCACTTACCATCTTAACAGCAAGCATGTTATGGTAAGTGTATTTTTTCTTCTTCTTACAATAAAGGTAATAAAAGAGGGTGCGACTTTACATGAATTACAATCTAAGCTATACAATAATTATGGCTAATAAGTAATATTATGTTGACTTAATTTTCTGCAGTACTAGTGAATAGCTTAAACTAATAATGTTTTGACTAGGGATGCATCGATATGCTTTTTTGCCGATACGATACCGATGCCGATACACTTATAGGAATATCGTCGATACCGATACCGATACCGATACCAACGCTTATTGAATTAAAATTAAATTAAGGTAAAATATAAAAAGTTAAGTTAAAGTTTATAATTTTTATTAAAAAAATATACATATATACAAAAACTAGTCACAAACTTTGAATAATTTTAAAGGTTTTGTTACTAAAATTAAGAATTAAGAGTAATAATTAAATTAAAATAAAATAAATAACTGTTAATAATTAAAATTAACAATGATAACATTGTTGTAATTCTGTATTTTATTAAATTTGGTATCGAAAAAATACTACTCGCGATAGCAGTTAAAAGCCAACTAAATGATCTTCAAATCTACGTTCAATAAAGTCTCAATGATCTCCCGCAAGCCATAATATCTAATAACTATGAGCTGGCAAATATAGTTGACTCGAGTAAAAATTTTGGTCTACTAATCAACCCAACAAGAGTTTTTCGTACTAACTACTAACTGACGTGAGACTGATCGTAAATTATCGTGATTCATGTGCACTTTTTATTTTTCATGTAGACTTTTTTTTAGTTTATATGTAATATGTATTTTTGCCCTCCTTTTTCATTTAATTATGTTTAATTTTGTAATGCAACAAAGTGTTAATAAATAAATAGTGTTTAGCGAAATGAAATATATACATAAATAATAATGCTTTGTCCCCAAGCGAATGATAGACACAACAAACTGAATAAAACTCGGGGATTTCTCTGGCAACAATAGTTCGTGGCTGGTTTACAACAAACTAGATCATACAAAATGCGCGTTTACATTATTTTTTTAAAGCGTGGTATTTTAAAAATATCGGTGAATCGGCAATGAAAATATCGCCGATGCCGATATATCGGCAAACCCAAAGTATCGCCGATATATCGGTATCGGATGCATCCCTAGTTTTGACACTATGTTCGTGTGTCCAAGATACCGATTGCACTTATATTCACTAGTTTGAGTAACTCAAAAGGTTAGGTTTAGGCATCTTGTTACTGTTATGATACACCAATGTCCGATTGACCAATCACAATCGGCAAAGTTTGTCAAGTGTGTCCAGTGCCTCTTGCCCCATTAGATTGTTACGCGACTTCATTAACAAATTAAGAATAGCAAGTATGAGCATTTTCGAGCGAGCGAGCAATTCTTAAAAGGCCGGCAACGCACTGGCCTTCTGGCAATGTGAGTGTCCATGTGGTATCACTAACATCATATGAGCCTCCTGCCCGTTTGCCTCCTATTACATTAAAAAAAACTAGTAATATAAGTACAGGCATGAATGTATACTTAGCAAAGGTTAAATTTGAATTTATCCATTATTTATGAAATAATTCCAGATCGACGAAGACCTCACGGCCCGTATAAACATGGCGGACTCGAAATTCTCGTTCCAAGAGAAGGGCCGCGTGTATGCCCTGCCTGGATGGCCCCCGAAACCCTGCAGAAGCCCAGCGCCAAGAGGAACTGGGAAGCCGCTGACATGTGGAGTTTCGCTGTCTTACTGTGGGAGCTGGCTACGAGAGAGGTTTGATAATTAATTACGTTATTTATACGTTTGAATTAACAATGATGATGATGATATTAAATTATCCCTAATGGGAAAGGCAAAGGACTTTAGTCCATACAGCCAGGTCTTGTTCTTTGAATTAACAATGGCCGCGACTGACAATTAATGTCGCTATCTTTTTTTTTGCATAACCTGGATACAAGTCAATTGGACGAAATCTTTCTTTGGTATTATGATGAAATGTTCTAGTCACATTGTTGCGAATTTGCTCCAAAATTTAAAAAATAAATAAGTTCGACGAATTATGAAGATAATTAAATAAATTCGCTTTATCCATTGAATTGAACTCGTGTAAGCCAGAATTTATTACTGTTAATTTCATCGAAAACGGACGCATTTTGTTGAAAATACTTTTCATCAACAATTATATAGGCTTGTTTTACCACGGTCAAAATGTACTCAAAATTACTATATACTTTAACCATATCAAACTATTGCCTATAAGTTCTTGCCAGTTTTATTTGCACACAGAAATAAAAAGTATAGCTAGGATTTGAACACACAACTTCAGAGTTGGAAATCTCTCACGTAGCCTAATAATATTTCAATAAACATCTTCACAGATTCCATTCGCCGATCTGTCCCCAATGGAGTGTGGCATGAAGATAGCTCTCGAAGGTCTGCGTGTGAGCATTCCGCCTGGTATTTCGCCCCACATTTCGAAATTGATTAAGATCTGCATGAATGAAGATCCCGGTAAGCGACCATCGTTCGAAATGATCCTGCCAATTTTGGAGAAAATGAAACGTTAACCCGCTAAATATTAAGATTCCCTTTAGAGTTTAACAGTTTTAGATACACAACAGACAGACAGGATACCGAGGTACAAATACATACACACAGAGAGAAAATCTCAATTGTTGAACTAATTATTTTGTGTCAATGAAATAAAAGTACAGAGAAAATGCACAAATTCATTTATGGGCTAAATGTAAAAATGTCAGTTGTTGAATGGTTTTTACAATCTTTAAAAAAAAAAATTTTTATGTTTAGTAATTTTGACATTAAAACTAAGAACACTTCAGTGAAAGCCTATTTTAGGTAATAAGACCTAACCTATAAAGTGGTTGACTTATTGATTAGTTTTTTATTTGACAGAGGCGCCGATAGTAAGTTAAGTAAGCTTTGGGTTAGTGTACACAGGTTTCAATATTTTACCTATATTATTTTTCTCTAAAAATATCTGCATTATAATTGTTAAAATGTAGGTAAAACTACAAAAAAAATATTTAAATTGTTTTAATAATGTTATTTTATGGAAAATCTCACAATATAACAAAAATTAAGCCTAATAAGTAAATGTGACTAACTCATTAATTATATATAATTTAACGTTCAATGAGATTCAGATTTTAGTCAAAAGTGTGTAAATATTATATTATACCACATTACTAGAAAATTACCAATTTGTTAATTGTGCTCGATAAAATAATCTCTTATACCAACGATTTCAATTTTTAATTATAATGTACTATAGTGCCATTGCTTTATAGACAGTACAAAAATATTATTTGGCTGTAATATATTGTTTTGTTTATAAGAAAATAATAAGACTAGTAAGTTTCAAAACGTTTAAACCGTATATAGTTTTAAAATAATCGTGGAATATTTTAGTGTTTGAAGTCCATATTTTTTAAAAGTTAGATTATTATTAATTTCATCAAACTCAGCATATGGTACCTTGTTTTTAATCTGTGTTTTTTCAAAATTGTAAGTCTAAAGTCAGTCAAACTTCCCGCGCTTTTTATAATAAAATTCATTAGTAATTAATGTAACTGCCAGTATTTAAGATGTTGTTAGATTTAGGTTGTGTTTTGTCATTGTGAAAAATATTTAGTTGTAATGGTGCTATCGTCTAATTATTTAAAAGATAATCTGATTGTGTATTTTTATTGAGGTGTGGTGATGTGCAATTATTATTCATGTATTTTTTAAGCACATAAGTGAATAATTTTCATAAGAATTTTGTGACTTTTTTATATATTTTCAAAGTAATATGCCAACAAAAAGTGCCTTTTGAAACAATAATAAATAATGCTTTTGATGTCTATAGAAAATATAATAATTATTTGTCGCACCTAGAGTCGTTCATTATAGCATCTATTGTAGATTAGTTTTATATCTAAAGAATTTTGCAATGAAATTTAATACCAGATAAGCATACAGGAGTGCCTTTTATAGCTCTTAAGCTCTCTTCTTAATTCTGCTGAAATTATTTCATTTTTTAAATGCTTTAATGAATTACTCTGAGAACGGCAATAAGACTATTTAATATATTAATAGTAAGCTTTGATTAAATTAATAAATATAAGTTGATATATTTTTAAATAAACTAACTTTACTAAAATTTTGTTTTATTGAAGCTTTATAATCAAAGACAAGGCACAATACTGACAAATAGGAAAATCCTGTTAATTTGATTGTTTCAGTGAATTATAGAATATGATACACTTAAATAGCCAAAAAGGTTGTTTCATCATCAGACGTAAAAGCAAAATTCTAAATCCTTCAAGTATAGCCTTCCATTTCTCCACAAAACCCTTCTAATGCCACGCACAACTATGGAATTTCAGAATCAATTCGACGTTTTCTTTATAATTCAGACTTAATTCCTTTACGAATTAATTAAAGTTTGCGAATGCACAACCTTCCAGCAACGTGAGAGTATATGGGTGGCGGCGATATCACTTAGCATCGGACTCGTTTGGCTTAGTAAGAAGGATTTTTAGTTATATAATCTAGTAGATCGTCGTGTAAATAGCTGTTATCCTGAAGTAGATGAAATTATGAATGTGACAAGACGATTTAAAGATCCTTAGATAAAGAGGTATTTTTTAGTGATAACTTTCTGCTTACTATGTAGTATGAACGTGACCAGACGCCCCGTTTTGAACGGGACTGTCCTTTTTTACAATAATTACCAGTCCGGGTGTCCCCGACATGAACTGTGGGACGCAAACTTGTCCCGTTTTCAGAAACCGCGCGAAAATTTTAATAGCGGTTCAATGTTAGCTTACAAGAAAAATATCCGTTTATCAAGCAAATAAATACTCCATCAGATATCAGATGTGAAAAGTGTATAATTTAGTGTTTCCCATGTGATATTGAACAGCATTTAAAGTCGGACAAACATAAAAATGCCGATCGAGCCCCGCCGCTTCGAGTTCTTCGATGTAAACTTTAACTAAAAATATCCACCGTACTCCCCGGACCTTGCTCCAACAGGTTACCATGTTTGTATAACTTCTGCAAGGTAAAAAAAAAATCAACACTGATGGGGCAGTCGAAACCGCCTTCTAAGATTGTATAAATTCCCGTCCGAATGTTTTTTTTAGTAAAGGTAATAATGAACTACAGGTATAAGATGGCAAAAGTGCGATAATACTATTATAATAAATAATAATTTAAATATAATATATTTAACAAAAATCTACTTTTTGTTCCTCCCATACGTTTCTCCCGCGTGCCAAGAGTTTCATTGCTGAGTTTCATCTCGCTTGTTAACAGCAATATTCATACACATTTGTTAAATATAAAAATAACTAAACATTGTGGGTACCTATATTTAAATACATACCTATAAAAAAACTAAGTGTTTTCTTGTCATTGACTATTATTTGGCCTAAATAAACCTATGTCCCGCTTTGAGTCAAGTAATAAATGGTCACATTAAGTATAATATTATGTACCTACTAAGTAGGTATAATAGAATATTCAACTCAAGGTAAAAATATTAAATAAGACTATGTAATAAATAAAGTGCAAGACACTACAAATAATGTAGAATTATTGTAGATAGAGAAAAATATTTCGGAATAAAGATACTAATTCCAATCCAAGGCTCAGTTAACAATCAATATTTAAATGAATGTGGTTGTTTTTGGTATTGTCAGTTGTCATTGTCATTGAAAATAAAAAGTCAAATCTGTCAGAACTCACAAACGTCAGGAATACAGTAATTTAAATATTTCTTGTAATATTTATAAATGCATAAATTAATTGGATTAATCTTCCACAACATATTTACAATCTAATTAGTTATGTACTGCATTTATTTCGACCTTTTTAATAAATGGTTATATTCCACTTAGACGGTGATGTTCAAGTTCTAAATCATGGACACAAACATACCTAATTTCAATTCTTTACCTAAAATATTAGATGTGGAATGGAAGCTGGAAGTATTGACGAATACGCCCGGCATTGGTTCAGACAATTTACTGTATACAATTGTGTTAAAAACTGAAGGAGACGATGTTAGATTTACGTGTGGTACTCAGCAATTACAAGATTTGGTTTATAAGTTGAAAGACCTGGTAAGACACTGTGAAAAGGTGAAAACAGAATTTTCTTGAAGACATGTGACGAATACTCAAATGATCATTCCAAATACAAGTTCCTTGTATATTGACACATTTTGTAATGGATATATTATTGTATTTTTATAACCAGCATATTTTGAAGCTTTAATTAATTAAATAGTCACGTAAATAAATGTCTTTTATTCCAAATTTAACAGGATAAAGGATGTTACTAAGATATGATAAAATCACTATGGATATTGACTGGTTTTCTGATGATAATTTACTTTGATGTTAAATTTTATTTTAACTGCACAGACATGATTGCATTTATATTTTATTTGAGTATTTCAGGTAAATAAAAACATCATATCTAAAATAACTTTATTTTAAATAGGTGAAAAAAATCCAATAAAATCACAATCACAGACCAAACAAAAAGTAACTACAAGGACAAAAAATACTACTTCTCTAAACATACAATAAAACACAAATCCATTTCCGTAAGATTATCTTAAAATATCACAATATTAACAGCTACTCTATGATTCTACAATGAACAATTTTAATCAGACTTAGACATATTCTAACAATGTTTTACTCACTATTCTTCTTCTAACCACTGCTGTTACCTCTAGGTTTGTAAATATTCAATGAACTTTTACAAAACTGTTTTGAAAGATTTAGCATATTTATTATATAAATTTTTATAAGACAGAATAGTAAGTAAATCTATACACTTACACCAGAATAGTGGCATTCTATTTAAACCATTGGACATCATTTCGTTTTAGGCCAGATGTACTTACATAGTATCAGTTGAGAAGCAATGTAAATGTAGAGAGCTGTCTAAATATTACAACCTATGCTTAGATAAGTTGTTAATATTTTCTATACTTTTAATAGTTATGGCTAATGTACTTGATAAATAGTGTGCCAAACCATTGTTTAGAAATGTTATGTTAATTAGCAATAGAAAAATATCTTACTTATTTATTGCATTGAACAGTCAAAATATGTATTCAGAGATCATAATTTATATTCAGTTTTTTAACTAGAATGCATATATCTTATATGCATTATATTAGAAAGCTCAATGGCTTTAAAATACATAAATTTTTTACTAAGTAATCATAACTATGTCAGATACAGTCAAAATATTTAATCACAATATTCTGCAATAAGCTATATTCTTAAGAGTTTAGACCAACAACATGAAGGTATATTAGTTGCTTGTTATACTTTGCACCTTTTAGCACATTTCTTACATCCCGTTACAGTATGATAATTTTAAACATTACATGGTGTGTCACAGTACAATTTATGGTAATGGTAGTTATTAAATAATAGTAGACAAACAAGTTTTAATCAATCTACTAGATTTCATAATTATAAAAATGTAGTTACAGGATCTAAAACCTGAGTTGTGAAATTAATTTAAGAATACTGGTGCGGTTTGCATATTCACAAATACACTTACGATAACATAACCCTCTATTTTATAATTTCAAGTGATTATATGAAATTATATGTGCCAGACACAGTTGGGTTATCTTGGCTATAAATTAAATCAATAAATGTGACAGGTGCAAAAATCTGCCTAATAATTTAATAATATTAAATAAATCAGTCAGATTTATTTAATATACTTTATAGCATATTTAGAGGGTAGGTATTACACTTATATTTCCACAACAAAGTTTAGAAGATTAATCAATGTGTAGAATCATACATTTACTATGTTAGTTATGGTTATATATTAATAAATTCTTATGTGATGCTTAATTAGTGTTTAGACTCAAGACAGTATAATAGTATCTAATTAGACAAAATGAACACATTTTCAGCGATTTTAACATAGTAAGCTGCCTAGTTCATAAAATATAGTGGTAATTTAGGACTTAATAGCCATAAACCATATAGCAATTATTATTATATATGACCTGCCATGTCAACAATGCCTAACCATAATATTGCACAATATTTTCCAAAACCTTAAACAAGACTATAAAACAGGATAAATATATTTTTATTAATAATTCACTCAATAATTAAATTACTTTATGCCCTTTAATCAAAATCAATGGTTAAATTTTATATGTTTTAGTATGTTAGAATAAAAGTAACATGTTTTTCAAATATAAGATCCTCGGTGAAAGTAAACAATCGAGTTTATCACATGTTTTAGGTAACATTTAATTCTAAACCACAAACAGTAACTCAAACTCTTGACTCGGGTAAATTATGGGGATAATAGAATAATAATGTAATAAAAATGTGTATGTTGTAACAACGAAAGCAGATGACCAATTTCAATGTGTATCTTGCATCATCAGTTATAGTTAATATAGTACTTCAACTTCAAATGAAACTACAGATAAAGGTTAAATTTCCATAAAAGTACCTTTTTTACAAAACATCCAAATGTAAGCAATTTTTGCAATTGAACATACCTATTATAATATATGGATAATATAAGTTTTGCGTAGTGAAGTTATAAAAATCATAGTATTTTCTAATAGGGGATTAATTCAGAAATAATTAGATTTTGAGTTACTGTTTGCTACAGTTTATTATTTTACAGCGAGAAAAACTTTAGGAAAGCTGCGGGCGGAACTGGGTGAGGGGGCAAAGGCCCACCGGCTTCTTTCAGGCGCTCTCGATACTCGGGACACTAAAATATTATTTACAAGTTAATTTCTGTTGAAATAAATATACTTTTTACTTATTTTCGTAAAAATAAAAAGTCTATTCTTTGAGTCTACATTTTAAACGTAGCCGTAAACAATAATGACCAGTCAAATAAGACATACTCAAAGACAATTTTAATAAAAATAAATGAAATTCGACGCTTTCCTATTTGCTGATTTTTGATGGTAAAAAATATAAGTGGAAAATAGCCATATAAATATTGAGTAAATAAAAATCCTACATACCTGATCGGCTATACAAGGGTGTCCCAATGAACGCCAAAATAGACATTTGCAATGTCTACAGAGAGACAATGTCTCAGCGTATTGCGCGTCTTCGCGTAGTCCATACAACCTTTGAAATTAAAAAAAAAATAGTTCTACTAATACAATCTATATAATACTTGCAGACAGGCCAAGCGTTGCTGTGGCAAAGGTTTTTGTTATATTACATAGTAGTAAACTATTCAAGGAAACGGTAGGAGAACACCAGTCATGGAGACCACCATGCTTTTTTTGGTGATTATGCCAATAAATTGTAGCTTATGTGAAACGTTGGTAACTTTCAACACAGCGCCATCTTTTAGAATTGTGACTATCAAAAAATAAACAAATATTTTGCAATATCCATAATATTGGTATAAATTGAGATGTAAGCTAGCTTAAGTTAGATCAAACTGCACATGGTGTGCAAATTTGATTGAAATCGGTTCAGTAGCTAAGGAGTCCATAGCGGACAAACAACGTGACGCGTAATTTATATATATTAAGATATACTACTTCTATATGTTTAAATAATATGTTTTTATTTTCTGTGCCATAAAACTAACATTATCACCTACTTATGATCCTAAAAATTATCAATGAAAACATTTAGAATATCTAAATTCTGACCTCCGGAGCTGATGGAACAGCTTCTTCCAGTCAGTATCTGCGTCAGTCTTCTGAACAGAGTCGATCTGCTGCGACGTGAAGTGGAAATTCACCAATTCCCGCCACACACGATGCTCCGAACATAGTGACGCCATCACAGACCAGGCTGACGACGCTGACTATTGAATATTTATATACTTTTATTTATTTTTGTTTTCTTTCGTATTTCTTTAATATAGATGTTAGGGAGCGTTCAAATATTACGTAACAAATTTGGGGGGGGGGTCCCTTTTGTAAATCGTTACGATGCGGGGCGGAGATTGAATTACGCGGTATTGTTAATATTATTTTCGACTTTCCAGTACTTTACACTTGACAGAGTCACTAGGTGGTCCAAAAATTGCGTGACGTAATACTTGAACGCTCCCTTAGACAAAAATAAATATCATTTATTATTGTAATTTAATTTTTTATGATACAATCACCAACCATTAAAATGTATAAATAATTAATTAAAAACTTTAAATACAAAAAATAGATAAAGCAAATATTAAAATACATTACTTATAATTTTTAACTCGAATTTATTACATTATTTACTAAACTAGTTGCTGAAGCTATTTAAGCTTTTTATATGATGAAATTTCATACTCACATCTAAATCCCTGTGGTCCGATATTCTCAGTAGGATCTCCCTGATGCATTCCTCAGGTAAGTCATGAAGCTTAGGCACTACTTCCGGACCAGGCTGAAAGAGTATTTCATTAATAAAAGTTCCTCTTCAAAATTAATACTATAGTAATACTCGCTCAATTACATTAGTAATCGAGCCTCCAATAAGGACGTCATGAATAGGTAACATATCAGACTTTTGTTAAGGCAGTCTTGATTAAGCTCTTAATTGTGTATCAGAATTAGGGTTGCCACCTTTTTTGCAATTAAAGTACATAATATGTAGTATCAAAGTGAAGTACATTTTTTATTATTCTTTTATAAAAAATATATTTTTTATTGTTTTTTGTGTTAAATTAGTATCTCTACTAATTGCACAGCATCTTCACAATCTATATTTAAACATCGATTCAGCGCCAATGGATGAATTCCGTTTAACGAAAAAATATGTACGACTAAAATAATCACATCATGCGAAATAATGTATTTTCGTGTTCTTTATTGTCCTCATAAAGTATGGAGTACAATTATCTGAAATAACGGACAATACTTTATAATAAAGTACAGCTGGCAACCCTAATCAAAAGTATAATTTCAAGATATATCATAGTACTTGTTCTGTGTAAAGTTTGATGGTTTGTTGCTACATTGAGATACGTATTAGAACAGGTGTTTATTATTATCTCTTTTTCTTCCAAAATATCTAACTTCGTGGCGACAAAATATTTTGCAATTATGTTACTAGGTTTGCATAAAATAATTAAGTTTTAAGCAATTACGTTTAAAACACCGGACTCATACCAGCTCTTGGAGATTACTTTACCACCAGAAAGCAGTGTTCGAGAACACCTATAATTTGCCAAGATTTCGATATATGTGGGGCCTTTGACACTCACCTCCTGTATCCGAATACTGTTAACAATCCTATGAATACGTGCGATCGCATGGTCGTGGTGACCCCATAAGGCGCGTGATCCCAACGGGCGGCCCCAGCACGAGCGGCGTTCGGCCTCACGAAGAGCCGTCACCCCCACCACTAACGCTCTTAGGGCGTTTAAGTTCTGCTTCGATGTTGCAACTGAGACACAATCTTTACCTCAGTACAATAATTACCATATACCTAACGAATTTTATATCAAAATCAACTCAATAGAAAGAAAATTCTTTGTAAAATTATATTTCTTTTCGATATCAAAAGATTAATGTTGCGAGAAACCAATATATCTAGAGTAAGTGAAAGAGTTTTTTTGAGTTCGTGGTAGATTAAATTCGACATGTAAATGTTGAAATGTAATCTTAAAATAACTTTAACGTAACCAAGTACACTTATGAACGTCAACAGAAAAGATGTTAAATTGATTCTAAATTTACATAATTACTACCAGTTCGCAAGTCAAGAGCGGGAAAGAAACTCTCCGTCACTCTTTTTAATCGCCAAGTTTTAAGACATACAAATTGTTTGAACTGGAGCAAACCAATCCCATGGATTATGATCGTTTAAATAATCGTCAAATTTATAAAAAGCTTTATTGATTAATTTACGTTTAAAGAGTTTTTTTTAATTTATTCAGTGATAATTCTTAATTTCGCTTGGGAGTTTGTTGTAAAAACGAATACAATTTCTATATAAGGAGTGGTTTATCTTCTGGAGCCTGGATACTCCTACGCTTAGATTAGTTCTGTTTCGATTAAAAACAGGACTGCTATTGAAAGTAAAATATAAAAGCAATAATTAAGTAAACTACGTTTAAATATTTTAATTTGCTTAGAAAGTAATCAAAAAGAAATACTATAAGGGTTTTAAATAAACAAACGATATATTCGAGATATACAACCTTCTTTTCCAGTATAGAGTATGGGGCATAAAGAATTTAGTGTCATTTATATTTTTTATGTAATATTTATTATAACAGCAAATACGTAGCCGTCGGATTTTGGATGATTAAAGGTAAATTTTGTAAAAATAATTAAAATAAAATACCTTGATCCGCAAGCTGTTCAAGCATAGACAGGAGCAATTTCTGCGCGGCTCCAGGCAGATGAGTCAGTCTCTGGCCACACACAAGTAGCTCTAACAATGCGCAGATGTAATTGAATCGTCTGACATCGCGGACAGCTGATGAGAAGTCCAAACGACGCACCGCTTCTGATAGGCCGTTAAATCCTGCGATCTGAAAATATATCGTAGCATTTTGAATAAAAAATTGTTGTAGGCATTAACGTATTTATTTTACAATATAAATGTTTGTTTTTATTTTCTATACCTCCTTCCAAGGTACGTAATATTAAAACACAACTTACTGCAAAAAATACATGCAACTGAGAAACGTTTGGTCCATGGTAACAGACCTTAGACGCTATACTCTGATTTTTAATTCCGTAGAAATCTGACAGCTATAATTATTTGACATGTCAGAGATTACAAACCTTTTTGGCCGGGCACATTTTTCAATTTCAATACGAGTCAACATCTGACTCTATACAAATATTTTATTTGTTAGTAAATGTATCCATTTTATTCAGTGTTGTGCTCCACATCAAAAGTGGTTTAACGGCAAGTGATAATTACGTCCTTTTTCATCACAAACAGTAAAAAACGGACAAGTAAAGATAACATTTTTTTTTTAAAGGTTTACTAAACCTGGGATTGGTAGGCAGTGATGCCAGCTAAAGAATAAAATAAAGTAATGAAAGTTAATTCGATATATTTTTTGTGATATTTAAATATTTGTTATTTTTGTATTAGGTTACTTGAGTAAGTAAATATTAAGATTTTTCTTTTTGTAGGTAAAACATAAAAAATACGTAACATTTTATTTTATTGCCCTAAAATGGGTCAAATATGTCCCTTTTTCGGTGGCGAACTTTTTTAGTAGCAACATTTATGAAATGTCAGAATTCTACAGAATTAAAAATCAGAGTATAAGTTAAAAATCTGATAAAAGAAATATTCTTACATTTTCACAATACATTCACATAATTGGGATTCAAATGCGTTTCCTATTATCACCATAATAGGTAATTTATAAACTGTACTTAAAACACTAACAACGTTTATATAAGTCCGACTTTTCGCCGCGCTGATCCAAACAAAATTCTTATGCGTTAGCCTAGATAAATGTATGACACTTACCTCTCTTGTGCATTTGATTGTAATATGGCAGTGAGGTGGTACCCTCGGAACCTCATCCTCTGAACTTTTGTCGCCATCTTCGTCACTCCTGGAATAGATAAAAAAAACCTCAACTTTTCGAAATTAGCAAAAAAAACAACATCAGTTTCGCATATCGATATTTTGTTTTTTTTGCGACCGAACTCTTTAATAATAATTGTTATATTTTAATATATAGGTACATAAAACCAAAATGACCTAAACCATTCTAAGGAATCTCACTATCTATTGATGAAAACTGTTCAATCTTAAGATCACTTTTGATACAAATGCAGCTGCAAATATTTTTTACAACAGATTTTTCGTACACTGGTTTACTTCATACATTATTGCTTTATTTTTCGTAAAAAAATATAACTCGTTAGTAAAACGTTTTGTCAAATGCGAGGGTAAGCCAAATTGGATTTCATGTCTAAGGAGGCATTGCTAGAGTCTGGCTAACAAAAGTAGATATTGGATTTTTTTTTGCAAACTTTTTATATGACAACACTAAAGTTAGTACGGTCAAAATGTCTTGATATTTTTTTATTTTAAATAAGTACATATTAGTTTTAGTTATTTTAGATAATGTTATTGTTCTTTTACAGATAGTCTTGAGGATAATGCACGAACTGCTGAAGTAAAACAATGTTGAATTTTTAGATTCAGATTTTGATTATAGTGATAAAAAAAACAGTATAAAAATATATAGTGTTGTTTTCTTTGATACATACGTATACTTACATAGATTTATAAATATTTAAACTCATGATAATATTGATACTCATGATAGTGTTTGATAGCCTGTTTGTTCCTTTAATACGCCACTGGAGTGGTACCAATGGAGTGACGTATCCGTGTGATGTTTGGTATGGAGTTAATAAAGAGTTAACAAGTGATATAAGCTACTTTTAATCTCCTCATAACGCGGACAAAATTGCAAGCATCCACTAGTAAAATAAAAATGAATGTCAAAGTATCAAAGTGAGTTGTTCCAACTTTCCTTTTTACTTTAGGGCTGCCATGCTGATATTTTTTAAATTTGCCGCGCTCTTTCAGTATCAACTTTCATTAGCCAGACTCTACGTATCTTGGTATGACTTTGAGGTTTCATAAACCGACACAGACACAGTGCACGATCATAACAACTTTCAGCTACACTCTCAAATACATGCGCATACACACCTATTCACACACTCACTCACTCACTTCATTTGCAACACTAAATTAATTACTATTTTATTTTATTTTAAATTACTATTTTATTTTATCATCTTTTTTTTCAAATAATTTAAACATGTACCACGTAATTTGTTTTTCTAGTTTCCCACAACACAGGGCCTCCCTAGTGTGGGGACTAGCGATATATGAATTCTGTCACAAACCCTTTTGTCATAAATAAAGTTTTTATTATTATTATTCTTATAAAAAATTATAGGTTTACAACTGTTGCAGACTGCAAATGACTGTTGACAGCATAAATTTGCTATTTAAAATTCACCCAAAGATTTAGGTAATTATTACACTAAATAAAAAATTAGTATGGGCATTAATTACAGCTAATATTACGCAATATTTACAGATAAAGACACGCAATCTAATTAATTATTGGTAATGTCTGAAGTGGGTCAGAGTTTGATGCATAGCTGAGAAAACCGTTCAATTTTAAGATAACGATACAATTGCAGCGAGTAGGAAAATTCTTATTTGATTTTCACCGCAGCGGGACACTTAAACATTCTTTTATAACCATTTAAAATCGCTGTAAATATGCTTCATATTGTAAAGATAATGAGTCCATCGTGTCAGTAGACCTCATATTTAATTCATTGTCCCAAGAGTACAGGCCCACTAACCCCTGCTCGGGACTACTAGAATATTCAGATGAGAATAGGGGACTGTGATAAGTAGGATTAGTAAAAAAAACTTCGCATTGTAATTTGTGGTAATTTGCCCCAGTGGGGACTGGTTAATAATTTACACAGTACAAACATATCCATGCACAATGAATTCGGCCACACAGCCCCCCCGAGTCGGAATTATTGTTTGCGAAACCGGAAAGGTAAGTTGTATACATATTAAAAAAAATAAACAATATTTCAAGCTGGCAATTCAAAGTAATTGTAACACTGTTTTAAATCACGTCGTAAAATATTATTTAACTTTGTTTATGAGTAGTAACTGCATGTTTGCATACAGAAAAGCATGGATCATGTTATGCTGGTCAGTTACTGGAGGTCATTGACATCTGACTCATTCTATCCTAATTGGAGATAATCCATATTAAAACAGCTGTTGATGTTGCAAGTATAAAAATACAATTTTCTCTTTAGTCATTTGAACTATAACATTAAACTCGCAACTTATTATATAAAGTAGTATACATAAGTAAAGTCCCTTGGCCAATAATGGAATTTGGGGCAGATATATTACGTTTTATTTACAATATTCACAAAAATGTATTTATTTTTATAAAATATTTTTTATACAACAACTGAACAAGAATTTAAGAGATATACCAGGGTTTGCTGATGTTACATATAAAAACAACTAAAATGGAAATGGGCTGGACATACATAGAGGAGCAGATAAATGGAGCAAAATTGTAACACTATGGCAAGAGGCCATAAAAGAAACAGAGGTAGGCAATTTATAAGGTGGTCCGATGACATCATGGAAATGGCTGGAAAGACTAAAACCTGGACGAGATTGGTATACAATAAGGAAAAATGGAGGACAATGGGGGAGGCCTTTGCCCGTAGGCACACAGAATCGGGTATCGTAGATTAAGAAAAACAACTTTCATGTACATATTTTGTATTTCTAATACTATAAATAAATAATAAATTTTTTTTACAACGTATTTTTCATACAACTGGTTTACTACGTTATTGCTATATTTTTAGTACATAATGTGTGTACAGTAGTACCTTTATAACTCGGTAGTAAAGCGTTTTTGTCAGGTGCGTGGGTAATATATATCTTTGTTTTAATCAACTTTGTTTTTTATTATTATTAATTAACTATTAATTACTTACGATGTCACGTAGACATGAATAAGTGATACCTGTATCTTATAATCCATAATAAACATATTTTTTTTTGAACATGGTACATGCAGCTCCTTACAAACATTGTGTAAAACAGAAAACTTGGCGATTAAAAAGAGTGGCGGAGAGTTTATTCCCAGTTCTTCCCTTCCGTTCTACGCCCTTGATTTGAGAATTGGCAGTAAATGTAAAATTAGAAGCATTTAGCATTTAATATGTATTTCTTTATTGACGTTCATAAGTGTATAAAAAGTGTGTTTTGTGTTGTGTATAAAATGTATAGGTTTACAACAGACTGCAAATGACTGTTGAATAAAATGGCTATTATTAAATTAACCCATACGTATAGGTAATTATTACGCTAAATATAAAATTAATATGGGCATAAATTACAACAAATATTACGCAATATTTACAGATGAAGACACGCAAGCATTAATATATCTTGAATAATTCATTATTGGTAATAAGTGGGTCATAGTTTGATTCATAAGCTATAGCTAAGATGCATTCATCTAAGCTATAGCTTAAAGCTGACCTTAAGACTACAGATAGAGAAGAAAATATTAGAGCAACTGTCAAAATAAAATATGTAATAGACGCTTGGGGCTTACCCAACTATTGTGGTTTTTAATAATCTAGTACCAACTACTAGTCTAATTATGATTCTCAGAATGTTTATATATTATTTTACTCCGGTATGACAAATCTACGTTTTGGACATTTGGAAGTCTTACCCTATATCTTTTTATATATAGAACAGGGGGCAAACGGGCAGGAGGCTCACCTGATCTTAAGTAATATCGCCGCCCATGGACACTCTCAATGCCAGAATGCTTGCGAGTTGCTGGCCTTTTAAGAATAAGTTAACAAAAGAGAGTGCCTTAGATGAATTACGTACAATCTAGCCTATACAATAATTATCACTAACAAGTAATATTATGTTGACTTAATTTTCACAATACTAGTGAATAGCTTAAACTAAGGAAATGTTCAGTCTAAGTGTCCTATAATGTTTTGACACTATATATATTCGTGTTCGTGTTGTTCACTTATATTCACTACACTAGTTTTATTAAATCAAAAGATTCAGTTCTCTTTAGGCGTCTTATTCCTGTGGGTATATTCTTTATTTTTATTTAATTTAGATATACACTGTAAAAATACTAAAATTGTAATTGTGTGATTAAAATGATTTTATGAAAACGCACCTGCATGTGAAAGCTTCCTGCTTCCTCATAGATATAATACATGCATAGATTACACTAATTTACATAATTCGTTCACGATTTCTCCTCTCTTAGAACCAACGGTTTGTTAAGAATAGCTGTTATTATGCAATTCCAAGCAATCATCAACGAAACGAAAGTGAGCAGTGACAACTGTCAATTTAGTTTCAAGAGCGTACCAAGTCTTAAAAGCCTATCTCTCTGGCTTCAAGTCTCTAGTTCCCCATCATTCCAAAAGTGACACACACTTCAAACACCATAAAGCTGAACAGTTTGATGGAGAAAGTTCTAAGGAACTAATGTTTTGTAGTCAAAAGTTTTCGTGTTAGATGTCTATTTGGGAAACATGATACAACCGAATTAACGCGAGTGAACAGCAAGTGCCTACACTTATTTTGTCGATGATCTTGGCTAACCAAGAGCGTGATCAGCGAAGCAACGGAAACGTTTGAAATATAATATGTATACAAGTGACAGAAACCGGGAAATGTTCAAATTGAAATATGGAAAGTTGTTATTCTGCTGAACAATATTTTATTACTATGTGCCTTCAAAAAGACATTCCTTGAAAGCATTACACGATAGCGATTACTGTATCTGGGAAGGTGATTAAGTATTCTGATTGCCATGGTTTTGCAATTTTTACAGTAAACAATAATAACCATATATTTTTATTTTTATTGAATCTTAAACTTAAAGTTGGATCTCAGATATTTTGAGTTAAAATAAATGTTATATCAATCGCCAATAGACCGCGTATTTTCATCGACCTACCATATACCAACCTATGGTAAAGAAACCTTAAAATCGGTAGAACCACGTAAAGTAATCAAATCAAAACCACATATAAAAAATCAAATAGGCAAGTTGGTGATCTACCTTCTGGCACACGCCGTCGACTTTTTAGGTCTAATTCACATAGAAAGTCCATTGGTTGGCACAACCGCCATCGAACCTACAACCTCAGGGACGAGAGTCTCACGCTGAAGCCACTAGGCCATCACTGCTCTAACCACATAAAGTATATAAAATAAATAATACTCATAAATAGGCTGGCATAACACATTTCTCGTGGCCTTCCGCATGCAACTCATTCTACCAATTCCTGTAAGCAACAACGCAGTGATTTATAAAATTTTGCTACTTTCACCTTAATGTCAAAGGAACAAGTACTACATTTGCTTGATACTTTTCATATGTGGAATTTCGTCGAGACTAGAGGTCATGTTATGTTGGTTAATTTGGATTAAATGTATATTCCTCATGTTTACCACTTTATATATATTTTATATTTTTTAGAACCTTAAAACTAATATTGAAATTAGAGTCTAATTTATTATAATCGTCTTTCCTTCAACTTTTATTTTGTTTCCTTTGGAGAAGAGACTGTTGGGCCGTAGGGTTCTAAGAGTCTAATTTAAGATTTAAGTTGGCGCCTGGTAGATAGTACCTGTGACCCCAGAGCTGGTGCTTTCCTCTTTCAATGAATAAGTATCGCAATACAGGAAATGCTGCCAGCGTTAATGATCACAGGGACCAAACTTTTTTAAATTAATTTTCTTTCTATCATGTTTTGATATTGAAATAGGCATATATTATATATTTAAAGCTTTTGGTATTAAGATATTGTTGTATGTTTTTCAACAAGAAATATCGAGACGTTACAATGTTAAAATATATATACAGAAATACATTTAACATTGATCTTTGAAACCACAGGATACCATAAATATTCTTAAATATTGGTACCAAAGTCTACTAACATACATCTTAAGAAACTATTGTTACTAACTTACTAATCAATCAATGGACTGTATTTGTCTGATTAATAAAAAATATTTTTATTGATATAGTCATCGACTTCGGAATTTAGTAAGCATTTGAATTTTTATAACGAAAAATCTTGGACCTATTTAAAAAATTCACGATTGTATT